TTTTGATTTTGTGAGAGCGCAATAGTGAATACCACAGATTCAGAAACCAAATTGACCATTTGTAAATCCATTGGATGAGGGACTGCCATCCAAAAAAAATAATAGATAAAAAGTGAGGGAGTAATTGATTGATATTGTCTTAAAGCCAAGTTAAAACAATATTTTCCACTGGGTGGTTCACGTTTAAGTCAGCATAAAGTTGCTTGTTGGTAATCTTTTTCAGGAAAATTGGTATGAATCCGTAAATATGTGCACCTTTGCATTATTATTCACAATCGGTTGTATTCAGTGTGTGGGAATGCTGTAGATAATCTCTGAACAAAACCAATATTTAAATGAATTGGCGAAATCTATATCTATATCTATATCTATCTATATCTATCTATATCTATAGATATAGATATATAGATATAGATATATATATAGATATATATAGATATATATATATATATATAGATATATATATACAAAACTCTCATGTGTGTGATGTGCCTATACTGTACCCCTATATACTCAAAATAGAACTACTATCGCATACCCTTTAAGAAATTATTATATTTAATATGAAGTTTGATTATATGGAATGAGAGAGGGACTATATGAGAAATTAGAGAATACTGAATGAAATCTGGAGAATTCTTAATCTATCAGTCTCTTTTTTGGAGATTGTTGTGACCTAAAATGGCAGACTTTACGACAGCTTTTCTAGCTTTTAAAGTTGCTATGCATGTTCTGATGTTTTGTGAGTTTGGTGATGTATGGCTCAAGTAAAATAATATCATAACAATAATCAATAGTAAATAATTTCCCCCTGGGATTATTAAAGTATTTCTGATTCAAGTTTGCAAAAAAAGTTGCTCTGATTGGACAAAATTGCAAGGTCATGCAGAATTCATGAGGATTGGTTGAATTTGTGTTAACTGTTGCAATCACAACATCAGTCCTCCTCATATATATTCATATATACATTACATATATTCATAATTAGGCCTTTTAAACTGTACGGAGCAGCATGATACTACATGCTACTATATTAAAACTTGGTCATATACTGTATTATATAACTGTGGCAGGAGAAACCTCTAGTGTGTGTAACACGTCATAATTATTACCTTACCGTAGTAAAAAAAAAACTAGTTCATCACAACTGCTGCCATAGCAACTCAAGAAAAGTGTTCATCCTCTGAGGAGCAATCTGCAGTTTGTTTCTTTCTGAATAAGTAAAAGTAATGCTGTTTAAATATTTCAGCTCTAAGCTCTGTAAGCTGAGTTTGTTAGCACAGCGCTGCCTTTTAGCCACAAGATGGCTCCATTTAATTTGAAAGAAAAGCAAATGCAATTGCCTTGTCAACAAAGGTGGTCTAATCTGACAATAACAATGTAAATGATCATCTTCTGTCTTTCTTTCTTTTCATAGTTGGTGATTCGCGTTCACTTGTCAGACGAGAGCTCAAAGACCATGATGGTGGACGAGAGACAGACAGTCAGACAGGTACGACACTTGCAGTAGGGCTGCAGGAAGAGTGAAGCATCTGAAGCAGTCTGAAGAGCTGTAGCTGTTACTGTAGAAGCAGTAGCACCTGTGTCTGTAGTACTAGTTCAAATAATATTCTTAATAATATTAGTAATATTTGTGAGTGTGTATTCACCATTTGTGTTAACATGTGTCATATCTGTAGCTGAAGTATCAGTACAACTACCAGCAGCAAAAGTAGAAATAGTAGAAACTGTTAGTAGTAGCAGTAGTAGTGGTGTTGGTGGGGGTGGTAGTAGTGATGATATCAGTTGCAGTAGTACTAGTAGTAGTGTCATTAACTGTGGTAGTAGTAGTGGAATCAGTAGTAGTTGTGTTGTTAGCAGTACTTCTGAACTTTTCATACTTTTCATAAGCAGTAGTACAATAGTATAGTAGTACTGCTGCTAGTGCTGCAGTGTAGAGCTCACAGTGTCTCCTGTTTGTCAGGTTTTGGACAGTTTGCTGGAGAAATCTCACTGTGGTTACAGTCCAGACTGGTCACTGGTGGAAACCATCAGCGAACTGCAGATGGGTGAGCACCCACACGCATCCACACACACACACACACACCACACACACACACAACACACACACACAGTCACACACACACACACACACACTGCTTTGTCCTATTAACTACTGAAATAGACAGAAAATACACAGTTATTGCTGGCTGCTAGATCTCAGTAAGCAGTTGCACCAGATCGTCTTAAGTTCAACCACAAAGTGATTATCAAGTCCAGATTAACGCATTATACACTACACTATGATATATAATGTAACATAATATAATATTCACCCCACTAACTAGTAATATATAGCACTCCATATCACTGACCCAGAATGAGTAGATGTTAATGTAAAACAGACTGCACATTTCAGCTGATTGAATGAATAATTAATATCTGTTAGATGTTTAATGCTAGCTTTAGAAAGGGCTGGAATGTAAGTGTGTGAGATACCTTGGGCTTCCATTTTTGAAGAGCTGTTCTGCCCAAAATGCTTTAAGTTGTGACATTGCTAGTGTCATCTCTACTGGCTTTACTAGCTCAGACAGCCTGGGTTGGTTAGTAAGTAGACTGACACTAATTCATTTCCAGGTGTGCTGAGGGAAGGCCATCATTGAGCCATCATTGAATTGTACCTGTAGTCAGTAACATTGTGCTCAGCAGTGACTATCACACAGCACAGATATTCAGCCACAAAGATGCTAGCATATACACACACACACACCTCCCCTTTGGGCTGGGGACGGCACTGCTGCGTGTTTGCAAGCACACCACTGCCTCACCTCACGAGCTCCCCTCGCACTCCTACTTAACCCCACCTCTCCTTGAACCCACCCACCCCCACCCACACCCACACCACCACCACCACCATCTTATACACTTATAACATTTCATTCCTTATTTCTTAGTTCTTTCTTTATGGTTATGGCTCCCTAGTGCCAGTGAGCCCGTGTGATCTAACCTACATCTTCAGGGCTTCTGCTGAACAGCATCGTTATGAAAGAGAGAGGAGGTAAAGCGTAGCTCGTTCGGCCATGTTCAGTAAACCTTTCCTCGTTTACACAAATCTGCTCCACGTGTGTTTCTAAAACCTGGGCTGAAGGCCAGGATTTGGCTTTAGGAATATTTTAATTGGCCCCTGTGTTAATTAAGGGAATGAATTGTTTCTGTAGCTGCGGAGAGAGGGCAAACCCTTTGACAGAGCGCACACACGCACACACACACACCAGCGGCACCACCAGCACCCTGCTGAGTGGCCTGTGGCAAGAGACTGACTTCCTGTCAGATCATAACCTCTGACCTCTCACTGCGTACCCTACAGGAAATTACAGTAGCAGACACATAATTATGTATAATAACAGAATGAGAAGACAGTTATTTTCATTATTATTCGTAGTAGCAGTTTTAGTGGGAGTTAGGTATTTGCTGTTACAATAGCGATAGTGTTAGACTGGCTATGTACTAAGTATTAGCTTTTTATGACTTGACAGGGTTTCCACACATCCTGGAAAACCTGGAAAACTAGTTTTCCAGTCATGGAAACACCTGGAAATGAATTAAAATGACCAAATATCCTGGATATAATCTGTGTTGTCTTGGAGAATTTAAATTGTATTTTAGCCTGTGCTGTGGCCTAATTAATGTTACAGTTAGAGAAAAGCTGTAGTCTATAGACCTTTTTCACATTAAATAGTAGGGTAAACACAGGTGTTACAAGTGATACTAATTAAGGTTCAATTCCATTCAGGTCAAGCAGAGTCAGAGGGCTCTCTTACCCTACTATTTCATGTCAAAATGGCTGATGTGAAAAAGGATCACAGAGAAATCTGCACTGCGAACGAATGAATGAATGAATGAATGAATGAATGAATTAATGAAAATGGTTTAGACCAAGTTGGGGACTCAAACACAACCTGATGCAGACAGGCAGATGGGTTACCTATCTACTTATTACTTCAAGTTAATAGTCCTGCCAGGGATGTTATTAATACTGATAATAGAACAGAATAACAGGATTATTTCACGGATTTACACAGATTATCCTGCTTCACCTGATTTAACTGAAAACTAACTGAAATATGGAATTCACTCTGGGTAGAGCGGATTTTCGAGGATCATGAGAACCTGGTTGAGAACCTGTTGAACTGGACCAGAGATAGCCAGAACCGCCTGATGTTCACCGAACGCATCGAGAAGTATGCCCTGTTCAAAAATCCACAGGTGAGCCGCATACACGCACACAGACATATGGAAGGGTTTACCAGAAGGCAATTTATATAATGAAAACTACACAGATGTTTTTATATTGCTAACCAGTTGTCTCTCTGCTACAGAACTATTTGTTGGGGCGAAAGGAGACATGTGAGATGGCTGAAAGAAACAAAGAGGCACTGTTGGAGGTTAGTTTGTTTTCTCCTCTTGCACACAGCTGCTTCCTCGAATGCCTCTTCACACAGTCTTGAGAATGGCCGCCAGTGTTAATATTCCAGAAATGAAGGTCCAAGGCGCGCACAGACACAATGTCTGACATTATACACTTTCACACTAAGGATATGAATTATAGAGATACTGGAATTCAATTCTTTTAAAGCTGCAGTAGGTAACTTTTATAAAAATTACTCTTTTTCATATTCACTGAAACTTTCAC